AAGGAAATCATCCGATTATTCAGCTATTCGCCACCTGGAAAATACAGATCGACTTAAGATCAAACAATTTCTTGTTTTGTGAAAAAATAAAGGGAATTACATTCGTAATCCCGTTTTTTTCCGTACAGTTGTTGTTTTTTCCGTTCCGTTAATTTCGACAATTCCGTATGGGAGGTACTTGTAAATCGATTCCGAATGGCTTTAAACTTTCTAAGATTTATGGCAAAAAATAAGAATCTGAGAGTTTGAAGTCAATCGGAATCGATTACACATCCCATACAAAATAAATTTCAAGGAAATTTCAAGAAGAAATTGAGGGCCAAAAACCAAACTTTCAGAATTTCATTTGTTCACCAAAAAATGAAATCTCAGAAAATTTGAAGCCAATCAAAATCGAATGGGTCTCATTTTGAGGTTTGTTGTGTCTTTGTGTGTTCACACCGAGTTTTATTGTTTTAGTTGTTGTAGTTTTTTGGCGTGCGCTCGCACCACAACACATTGTTACATGTTTTGCTTTCTGTGTATACTTTTCTTCTTTTTTCTCTCACTCACAATCGCAAACAGAGAGCTGAGTCCAGTGTAATCTGATACTCGCTGAGGATGACAAATGTCGAAATGCATCCGAACCAAAATTTCGTTTATAAATAAATATTCATATTGATTCATGTTTGAAATTTGAAAAAGCAAAGTCACTTTAAGGTGTTTTATTTAAAATTTAATTGAGATTGAAAAAGTCTTTCCATTTCAATTCCCTTAACAAAGTGTACGGAAAAGTAAAAAATTCAACATTACCATTGTTGGCAGCATATTGAATCTATTCCAATTGTTCTGCAATATTATTGTGACCTGAAAAATAATACAGATCAATGAAAAAGATCAAAGCGGTATTTAATATAGTCAGCAGTACCATGGCTAACTGCTAACTGACGAGGTGTTAGATTCGCAAGATTTCTAACATCAACTTTGGCTCCTTTTTTGATGAGAAGTTCAGCAACATTTTTGTGACCTTAGAAATAATTAAGATCGATGAAAACGATCAAACCGATTCTTTATTTTGTGAAAATACTTATTCAACATTACCATTCCTAGCTGCCAAATGAAGAGGTGTACGATTAAAATTATCCATGACATCCATATTGGCGCCTTTGTTGATGAGA